TAATTTAACTAATATTTAATGTAATAATATGAGCTGATAATAAGTAATAAAAAATTATGAATTATAATTAAAATTTGTTTTTGCATATTTTGGTAAATAAAATGCATATTTTACAATTTTTTATTGCACATAAATCCTAGCCCTAATCATTATAATTGTGTTAGGTTGTCTAAACCTATATATACTTGAATATTGTATCCWCATCCGGCGCTGTAAAAACGTTCCGTCGGGTAACGTTATATAGTCTATTATTGGTATATGCCTATATATATATATAGTTTATCTATATTATACACCACAGCTAATCGAATTCCCTTCACGTTCGATTCGGAATAACGGCCAAGCGCGCGCAATTCACATTGTTTGAGCGTTTTAATTTACTGCGCGGGATCCGCCCGTCGTTTCGCGTCCACTGCACTCGTGAAATTTGCGGTCGTTATTTCCTGAAAAGTATATAACACGCATTCTAGTTGTCGTTAATCCAGAAACGAGTTTTTCGGACGTCCCGTTTGACATTTTGCGGTCGTCGATTTTTGGCTGACTGCAAAATCCGTACGTCCGTTAGTTTTAACATTACTAATATAATATTACCTACGTTGTTACGTATAAATTAGGTATATATTTTTTTTATTGATCTTAAGCCCGGCGACTAAGGCCATTAGCTATACATAGGCCATTGGGTTTGGGGTGGTACGGTAGGGGTTATTTTTGTGTATTGAGTTTGTATGTTTTTTTCTAAGTGGGTAGGATTGTAACACGTGTTTGTGTATGTATATGCAATACATGATATGTTGCTAAAAATCCCAGCTGGTCACCCATCCGGGAGATAGGAACTGCGGCCGATACGTACACTCAGTGCGTTTTCGCAAATTGAGCGTATGACCGCGCCTCACCAAGCCACAATTATTAGGTATATAGGTTTCTTAAACCCACTCGGGGTTATTAAATATATTATATAAGTACCTATGTTTGAATCCCACACGGGTAACGGTCCCATTAGCGATATTTTTGTTTGGTAAAATCATACGATATATCAATATTTTTAGCGTTATTTTCATGTAGAATGTTCGTAAATGATTCTCGTATTGTTTATAAGTACCTACTGATATTACCGATGACTGTATTTTTTTATTATTAAATAAATGGCTCTTACGGATAATATTATAAATTGCGCCTTTTTAATTGGATGACTTTGTAGAATAATATTATATAGTCAATGATTTTTCCGTATATTATAACTTGACTGCCACAAGATTCTAAATTGGGTCTTATCAAACCTCTCTAGAATTCTACGGAATATTTTTATAGGTTTAGTTCATGATGTAGATAAGATAATATCTTCTCTACATCGTGATTTAGTTAGAATGCATACTGTGACAAAAAAAAATGATCTTTGCAAGCTTTTAACACCTATTAAAAGTAATAATACCGTACTTTTGAAAACCGACTAGAAAATACCGAATATTAATACCCAAAGTGATATTTCCATCTCATTGAAATTATTTTAATATAAAACCCATAAATGGATCTCTTTGCAATATTGGCATTTGGCAAGTTCAAAAAGGTAGTCAAGTTGATATACGTAAGGCAGCTGAGACGTACGAATGATTAAGTTTTCTGTATCCACACTTTGTAAGTGAGGATGAAAAGCACCAGTTGTCAGAATTCATATACCTACTTATATTAAACTGCAGGATTTACTCAGAATTTTTGGTATGCAAAATTATACCCGCGATCGCAGGTTATACTCGATTTTTTGAATACACAAAAAATAGGAGGCATTATAATATAGTTTATAATTTGATTTTTGATTATTGTACACACTCACCGATTTGTTACCGAGCTGCTTCACCCTGCATGGCATGTACGCGTGGCCACCTAGTTGCGTGGTGATGTTGGACGATACAGATGTGTCAAAAAACGGCCGGACCAAAAAATCGGACACCTGTTTCTTCTGCTGCTGAGGGTTGTATTTTTCTGGAAAAAAGAGAAAAAAAATTAAGATAATTTTTCTACCCACATTCAACCATCTAAGTCGAGTGTTTTATCTTCAAACGTTGCGTGTAAGCGTCTCGCACAATATACTAATTGGGGTCGAGCGCTTAATGACCTTCTCGGTGCTGGATTTTATCGTTAAAAGTTTCCCCTCCCCAACTTTGGGACCTTACGACATGAACGTTCATTGCAAATAMTATTAAACCCGTGTGCGGCACCTATATTTTGATAAAATATAATATACAGTGTGGGCGGTGTAGCTTTTCATTGGTTTTTTTTCTGCGTCGGCTGCATGACGCGTGTGAATGTCGGCCTTTATAAAGATCTGAAATAATACACACTCAATGTCTTACACATAATATTGTATATCTGACGAGTATATAGATAAGTGCATAAAACAAATACCGTACGTTGGGCTCGAAAATTACYAAGTTTGAAAGAATGCATACAAACGAAAGCGTTCGTTTTTGTCGACGATTGCACTCTCGAACGCATTCAGTTCATAAATAATAAAAGGAACACGTCATATTCGTTTTATTCGCAAACGTGAATAAAAAACGAATTCATTTTTAAAATCAAAATGCTATACACAATTTGTATTGTTCTATACTCTGGAAATGTTTTCTCTAAGAACTATATCTGCAGTAGGTATACACACGTACAAAAATAATATATACTCAACATTTTTGCCTCTTCTAAGGCTTTGGTGTTACTCTAGACAGGCAGATTTATTTCAGGTGACTTCTTTTGCTTATACGATTATTGATTTTTCCCTTTAATGTCTTAAATAAGATATTTTCAACATAAATATAAACTGACACTATATAAATCAAATTATTCTTTATGATATAATATTTTTTATTCATATTTGTTATTAATTATTATGCATGTATTGAAATAAAAAAAAATGTGTATTTTCTTAGTTTATTATTATTCGTTGTTATTTATAATATGKTTTGAGTAAAAATGAACATGAATTGCGTATAGTTTTTGGAATAAAAGTAAATTCGTAATGAAATTTGCATTCAATTGGAAAGTAATTGAGTATGTGAATACGAGAATGCATTTAATTTCAAATTTATTATGCTTCAAATGCTGTTTAAAATTAAATGATCATGATAGTCATTGATCATTATTGTTCGTGACACCGAGGTTTCAGTATTGTTTAAGCGATTTTGTTATGCGGTGAAGTGCGTGGGTAAACTGTGTAAAAACTGGCTTAAGACGAAAGTTTTTCGTTTTTGTGGTCTACAAAATTGTTTCAAGCCGTCGACATTTTAATTAAGAACGTAAAACCACAGTGTTTTTTCAGTTCTTCAGCACATTGAAAAAAACAAATACTCACAGATGGGTTTTATGTCGAAAGTTTAAAGCTTTGAGTAATGTTTTTAATTTGCGTGATTATCCAAATTCATTTTTCACAATAATAATAAGAACAAATTATCCAAGTACATTAAAGTTATTTTAATTCAAGCATTTTATAAGTTCTTCAAATGTATTAGTAAAGTTATAAATTTTCTTATAGTATTTTTGGTTGATCTTTTTCTTCTATCTTTTTATTTCAGATATCACATCATTGTAATTTTTGTATTATAACAAGTGAAAATTAAAATCAGGGTTTTAATAGAAAATATCAACAACATTTATGTAAAATGTATATGCCATCTGAACTATCACACTAATTTATTCACCACATAAGTTGTATTTTGAAAATTGCATATTTATATTTTATTTAAAGAACACTTATTTAATCACCTGTATTTAAAAAGTATTATCTAGGTTTTAACTAGTTTATGGAAAAAATTGCTTATACTCTTGTAGACAGTTTGTACTATGGCGATAGATTATGAGTTAGATGGGCTAAATATAATTAGGTAATGCAAGTGTGAGTTATGTAAAAATAAAAAATAAAATGATTTAAATAAATACAAACATATTAAATACGAAACCTATCATCGAGAAATATAATAAAACTAAAGTTGAGGATGTTAAACAAATTATTTATTTCTAACTTATGGAGAATTCAAAATAAACAACTAATTGTATACTAGTATAATTAGGTTTTCAATTTATTCGATTGAAATACAAAACTAACATTGTTTTGAWTACTCGCACGAATAATTAATAAATAACAAATAACAGGTTAGTGTAATTATGGGTTTTAGTACAAATATGTTTGTATAATTTTTAATGAATATACCTTATATTTTATTCGATTAAATGTTTAAGTATATTATAAATCCCTAACTATATAAAATATTTGGGACCATAACTAAGTAAAATTTCAGAAATCCTTTACACAATATTATGGATATCTCTTGACAAAATAAGAGAAATCAAGGTGCAATTATTTTGGAACTCTGAAATCTCAGTCAACCACATAATTACAGAATATGTCCAATACACAAAACAAATTAGAGAATTTATAGCCTCAACAACTAAGACGTAGCAATCGAACTGAACACCACCATAATAAGTTTTTAAAAAGAGAAAAAAATAAAAATATTAAGTTACGTCTTGTTATTTTTATATGATTAAAATCATAAACTACGATGTATAATACTTAATAATTACCATGGCACAGACCAAATAAAAAAATAAAAAATAAAAATATAGTATACAAAAAAATTTGTCAATACATAAAAACACCGGACTTGTACGACTATACAATTATAGGACTGGACTTGTGGACTTAATTATATAATATTGACCCTCTATAATATGCACTACACGAAGACATAGGGAAATCAATTGTTAGTACAATATTATTATGTTTTTATCGTTGGAACCGGGGTCATTAAAATTCATAAAATTCAAGTTTAATACGTCATACACACTGGTCTAGTGATCGGGGGGTATTGTATTCGTTTACACGGGCATAATGTCTATTTTGAACTGTACGAATTGATCAAGTACTTATATGATGCAATAACCGAAGTAATATGGTGGTCATATATTCGTATGGTTATTATAATTTATATTCAATACATACGTGAGAGACCCACAATCTATTTATTTTTGACGGAATTCGAGAACACACCTCTGATAATAATTATTATACCATCGCAAAACCGTTTATCGGCCATTGTATTGCAAAATTCCATTATGTTTAATAATAATATTATTATCTAGCGAGACCACGCGACGGCACGGTGTAATAACGACGTGGCCCAGCAAAATAATAATATTCAATCCTGTATCATCGTTTACATTTTATGATGTGACGGACCATTATTATCAAAACGAATGCATCGATGGTTTATGTGTCAGCCTTTTGACGTCTGTGATCCTGATTGAGGAGGTGAATCACAGTGTATGTAATGGACATGTTCCGTTCAATAAATTAAACATATATACACACTCACTGTTTATACTGTTGTTGTGTGCTGCAATATCTAATCATTAATTTCTAATCAATTTTCTCATTTAAATTAATTATTCGCATTGCTTTTCTCAAACGGCCGTGGCGTACGATTGTACTGGGAAATCGAAACTTAAAATAAAACGCCAAGAGATAAGTTTCCGTCTTATCTGGACGAGAGCACACGCCGTTTTATCCGTCTCTCTTTGACATTAATTTCTCAGTTTATAATTATTATTATAATTATTTCATGTGCATTTTTTCCAGAACCTTAATTAATTCATACCTAATTAAAACAATGGTGGCTATTCTTAATTTTATATTTTTCGTATGGACGTAACTTAAATTCACGAATGCCGTATATTTGTTTGCTAGGTAAAATATTATAATATGTGCTTGTTTTTTTATCTCGTTTTTGTACTCGTCTATAGTATTTATACGCACATCGTATACAGGTGCACAATGGAAGGACAACCACTCCGGTATTCATATTATTATTATATAAAACAGCCTTTAATATACATATTGTTATATGTTTTCCCTTGATGTGGTTAAAATATTGTACTTTGGATGATTAATTTTTGAAGATAAAAATTATCAAAGTAAAATTTATTATTATATAAAGAAGTAAAAAGAAAAAAAACCATTGAAACACTAGAAATGAAGTATTATAAGAAGTTTCCATAATTATTTTGAAACTTTCTATACATACATTATACATATTATATATCCTGAAATGAAAGCATATTTTTCATATGATTCTATAAAAAAATTGAGGAAAAACAATTATAATGAGGGCTGGTTTTCCGCTACTCAGAAAATATTCATTTTTTTCAAGAGATTTTTTTGAGAGGGTCAGAATTATTAGGTAAGATATCTACATCATTTTATTTTAATTGTAACAAACAAAATAATTGAAAATCAAGTATTTTTTTTAAATTAGTAAAGTTTTTATTTTTGGTTTATATTATATTTTTACTATGCTTAATGCATAATTTAAAAATAATATGTTAATTATTATTATGATACGTAATGTGTTATAATATAAGCACACTTTTAAAATTTTGACCATTATAGATTATAGCCTATAGGTAATATAAATATAAAGAAAATATTTACTCTATTTTACTTTATAACTTAAAGTTCAAATTTAAATGCATGATTTTGGCTGTAATTAATAATAAATTACTAGTACCGGTTAGTAAAGTCATTTACTAACTGGTAGTTGATTAATTTATTGAAAAGTATTTATGATTATAAAAGCATAGTTATTTCATACTATGTATACACTATACATTTTCGATTTCAAATAYTGATCAGTTGTTAATTATTGTATATTGGTGTTATACTTTTTGCAATTATTTGTTTTGACTACATTTAATATACTAAAATAATAGTTTGTAATTATAAATTAAGTTTTTTTTATCATAGCTATTTTAATTTATAAGTAATTTAATTAAAATATTAAAACTTTGAATTATTTAAATATTCAAAAAAGAAGGCGTATCCATATGATAATATAATATATTATAATCGCTTTTAAATAATATTGATGTACAATGAAGTCCCCTCAAATATTTTTTGAAAAGATAAGTGTATATTTTATAGTATGCTTTGTACT